AAAAAAAAAAAAAATTCGTTATGAGATGTGACTATATCTTTTTTAAAAACAAATGAATCTAACCTTAATGTCTTTCAAGTGAGTGTAATTTCTGTTGACCCTTCATTTCTTTACAAATGTTAGACTCCTGGGCCATGTCTTTCTGAAGATTGCCTAAGTATGGTAGCATTTCAGGCCTTTTTTTGTCCCTTAAAGGAACTTCTATTTCATTTTAGCATAGGCACTGCTAACATGAGGAAATAAGAACATGAAGCTAAATGCAGCCAGGAACATTATACAGAAATATTGTGATCCTTTAACTTTTTTAAAGAATAATTTTTACATTACTATCTTCACAATTGTATCTGTGTTTATTCAAAACATTTACTAAACTCCCGCAAAGTGCCAGGCTCTGAGGACGTAGCTGTGAAAAAAGACAAGCCTCTTCTTCCGTGCTGTTTACATTCTGGTGGATAGACACTAAAATACGTAACAAGTACATATCTACATCCACTTACGGAAGGGCCTGTTTAAAAGAAAAACCTAGAAGCATGCCCCAAATGTCATCCAACAGAATACTCCTCATAAAATGAATGTTCTCTTTCCAGACATTTTTTGGATGTTTCTTAGAGAAAGGCATATTTGATTAAATCAGTTCATAAAGGGAATGGACACATGTCTTTAGATTCGCAGCTGCGACTCTAGTTGGCCATGTTCCCTTATGTGTGGCCAGTGGTCCACGTTGCAGACAATTCCACAGGTCCTGGAGAGAATTAAATTTCACTTGGTAAGCCCATGGATCTTGCTACCTCATGCATCGTATCTGTACAGGCAGTTGCTATGGCCATATCCTGCCTCCTGTGTAAGACCAGCTTTCAGGACTTATTTGAGATCTAACTATGGTAATTTGCTTGTCCTTTGGACAAACTGCCAGCTACCCACCGACTCTGGCCAAACTTGGACCTGTTGACTAGAATACATTCATGTGCTTTTTCATCACATTTTGCTTTTGACACTATACTTGTTTTTCTTTGACTGTGAATACAACTATTCCAGGCTATTATACCACCGGCATTCTCACGGCCTGGCTCCGTCTTAGCGTCAATGTCTGATACTCTGCTGCCATCTAGTGGCCACAGGCTGCTCACCCTTTGCCTGTCATTTTAGGTCTTTTTTTTTTTTTTTATTGTTAGTTTCAGGTGTACAGAACAATGCAATAGTTATCTTTTTCACCCCTCACAAAGTAACAACTCCCTTCCCCCATCTACTGCCATTTTAGGTCTTAATAGTGCCCTTCTAAGAAGTAGTCACTTTAAGTTCTATATTCATTCCAATGAGGAAGACTTTACTGTAAATAGTTTTGGAATTCCTATTTTGGAATTGCTTTCAGAGCCTGCATTATATTCTTCTAAGCAATGGAGCTTAATGGTTAAGGCGATGGATTCTGGAGTTAATGGTTTGGGCTTAAACCCCAAAGCCACAATTTGTTTGACCAGGTCAAATTACTTTACCTCTCTATGCCTTACTTTTTTTTTTTTCAACCTGTTTAAAAACAGAAAGGGGAAGATGTGAGGGGCAGGGGGTATGATAAAGATAACTACATCATAGAGTACTTTGAGGATAAAAAGTGTTGATACTTGTAAAGCTCTAAGAACAGCACATCAACTCACAATAAATATTAACCACCACGTGTGAGACTTTGGGGACGTTACTCAATCTCTCTGAGCCTCAGTTGAATCATTCCTGAAAGAGGATTAATGTTTAACCACCTCCAGTTATTGTGAGGATTGAATGAAATGGTTCATGAGGAGCACACAGTTTAGTGCCTAGCATGTGGTAGGTGAGCCTTCAATAAATGTTAGCTGCTATTATTATTACTATCCCCAGTGATGGAAAATCCATGACCTATGAGGATGATGTTGAATTTAATAAATATCCAAGTTATTCCAGTCAAGTCTGAGTAAATGCAGTTGATGACATTTTTCTCTGGCCTCCCCCGTTTTGACTCTGTCACATTAAACACTGTGGACTGAGCCCCTTTTCTTGGGTTTTGTGATCTTTGTGATACAGTTTCTCTCCTCTGTCCTCTTTCCTGGCTCAGTTTTACCTTGCTGCCCTCTAATCACTGAATGTACCTCAGGTTCTAAGTTCAGCTGTGTGCTTTCCTCATTACACTCTCTTTTTGGTAATATGGTCTACTTTTTTATCTCTGCCAAGAATCCTCCACTTTCTCTCTCTCCTTTTTCTGGGTTTGAACCTAACCTTTTCCCTCAAAGTCAATATCTCCAGGAGAGAATTTTCGTCAGCACTAACTCTCTCCCCAGGCCTGTGATGTCCAGTCTCTCACTCAGGATAATTAAGTCTTAATTTACAATGCATCTCACACAGGCCTCTTGCTTTGCATCACTAGCAGTGAACCCTGCATCAGGCTCCTGTGTTCCCTTGTTAGACCAGAGGGCTCCAAATTTTTCCATCTGGCACCCCCTCAGGAAACCATTTTGAGCATATACTCCCAGTGAACATGTATTTATTTACAAGTTATATACATGCTCTATTCTAATATATGTATGTATATTATTTGAAAAGACAATAACAGACATTGAAGTGAGAGTGAAGAATTTGAAATAAATATTTTAATGAGTTTAATTTTACATAGTATTAAATAGATACAAATGCCTTTTTGCTCTTGCTAAATGTGTTATGAGTATCTTTTAAAAAGAACAATATGATTAAATGTGCCCAGTTATTTCTGAAATGTTGACTGACACTTTGTAATATAGCTATTTAAAGATCTGTTTCAATGCGGTTCCATGTTTGGCTTAACTTTGGTACTTGTTTTTAATGTCTTACTTAATGGTAAAGGGGCCCCTCAAAACACATAGATCCCAAACAATGGAAGTGTTGGTTGACTGTACCTACTAAATCATGAAAATTATTTTTTACTTTTGTCCAGAATTATGCTAAAAATTTTTTTGAAATGCAATATATATTAATATAGCTGAAACTTTCTTCTCTTATTTTAGTTTTCATTGATATGTTTGCTGGTTGGGTTTTATGTTCATTTGTTTGTTTCCCTGTGGATGATGTAACCCAGGGAATGTATTTTTATATGTGGTGAGGAGGGTTTTGTGAGTACATATTTCTCTACCATCTTTCCCAGAAATTTCATATCACACTTCTTAAAAACCAATAAGTGACTTTGGAAAATATCCAAGATACATCTTTAAGAGAATAGAAAAGCAGGATATAGCAATAAAATAACCCAATTAAAAAAAACCTGTTTATATATACTCACAGAAAAGTAACTAGAGGAAAATGTATCAATATTTTAATAGTGTTTATCTCTGGGAGATATGATAATGGATGATTTTTGTAATTTTCCTCATGCTTTTCTGTCTTTTCCAAAGCACCAATAAATAACATTTATTAACTCTAGATTATAAACGACTTTTTTAAAAAAATTATATCAGATACTTTTAAAAAGAAAGACGTTCCAGGTAATGTTTGAATTTCAGCCCCCAGATTAACTATACTCTTGCTGTTTGCATGTCTAGATATAGCTATGATACAGTGCAATCATTGATATTTGTAAATAATAAATCTAAGCTAATCAGAAAACAAATAATGTTCCATATGCTGTGTCTATGACAAACAAGTAATACATTTTAGATGGATTTACTTTTTTAGAAGTTAAAGAATTTTTGACACTTAATAGGCTGGTCTTGAAATGTTTGAAAAATTTCCACATGATGCCAACTGAATAAAAGTGGCATGAGTTTCTCATTAGAAAGTCTTACTGAGACTATCAAGGGTAATATAACCCAGGGGATATATATTGTGTCCAATTTTTACTCTAAATAATTCTGAAATGATGTAAATATATAGAAGTGGTTTTCAAGCTGTGAGCCATAAAACCTTTTAGAGCCCCTGCCAAGTAGGCAAAAGAGTCTTGCCCCTTACTACCCAGGAAACACTTCAAAATGCAATGCAGCTTCTAACAGTTTTACATGCAGGGAGTCCTACATAAACCTTGGTTTGGAGAAAAAAAAAAGCATTTTACTGCTAAATTAGAAGTCTAAAAATGCTTGGACTTATGCCACACTGAGGAGGGAATGGGACAGGTGTGTGTGGCAAGGACAGAAAATATAGACATATAGACTAACTTATATATTTTAAAAGATCTTTTATTGTAAATATGTGCTTCTTCTATCCATACTCCTCTGCCAGACAAATTGTTAGCTCAGAACAAAGTCGTAAAGGTAGAAGAAACGAACCCATACCGGAACCTGGAAAGTGGGCTAGCCAACATTCTCAGGCCAATAGATGACTTCTGTACAAAGTTCTTTGTGGGAACAGAGGTGAGTTGGCATTATCTGCTTTTACAACTAATTTTTTTTTTAAGATTTTATTGGGGAATTGGGGGAGGGGAACAGCATTGGGGAATCAGGGAAGGGGAACAGACAAGTTGCTGTCCTTTTGTTCTTCAGTCTAGTTGAGGAGGACATTGCTTCACTGGCCCAAGTTGGCACCATCATTGCGCTCTTCCCAGGCGAGGCAGATCAGTCGATGGCTTCTGGACGGCCGCTCACTGCAGCTGCTGGCCGCTCAGGCTGGCTGCTGGCTACACACGGTAGCCCATGGCAACCCACTGCAGCAGGGGCTGCAGCCTACGCCGTGACTGGCGACTCACAGCAGCCCAGCTCCAGGTTGAGCTGTTGTTCAGTATCTTAGCTGTGGAGGGCAGTGTTACTGGCCCTCATATGTGGGATCCGAACCGGGGCCCTCTGGCATCCCAAGCCAGTTCTTAACCATCACACCACTCGGCCAGCCCAACAATTAATATTTTTAATTGCATTGAAATATATGATTATAACTCCTATTGTACATGTTTTCTTTATGAAAGCTTATAATATTTATATCATTTTCGTATTTTAATATGCTTATTTGCACTTAAAATTTTTAACCCCATGCCCTCATAGATTCATACTTTAAATGTCCCTGAACAAATGTGGAAAAATCTATAAAATTAAGCATGACCTTTTTTACTAATAATGCATTGTTCAGCCTGAAAATATTTATCAAACACCTATAATATATGAAAGAAACAATGCTAAGCATTAGAGATTTACTTAGAAAATATATTGTCTGTTAGGCCAGCACCATCTACTAGGAAAGAGTAAAGAACTCACTCAATTCAAAAGATAAATAACTGGCTATAATAAAATAATGGCTGCCATTATTTAGTATCTATTATAATAACTAAATCGAGCTCACATTTATTGGACATTTTCTATATAGTAGGGTCTATGCCAGGTATTTTCCAAATCATATCTCATTTAATCTTAATAATCCTATAAAGGTGATATTATTATTCCCATTTTACAGATGAAGAAATGAGGCTCTATCTTACAGTCAGACAGAGGCCGAGATGCCTGTTCATTCATGAGACCCCTTGCCCGAGATGAAGGGCTTTTCTCCTAGGCCATAGAACAGTGGGAAGACGCCATAGCTCAGTCTTATCAAATGCAGTTTGTACAACAGGATTGGTCAGTTCCACCAGCTCTCGTGAATGCACTGCCTGCCAGGCACCGAGCTAAGCCCTGAATCAGAGATGAATCAATACCACAGTCCCTATCCCCAGGGCACTCACTACTTAGTTAAGAAGTAAATATTGTACATTGACAGTGTGATGCACATCAACACTGGTCCAGAGGCCACAGGTACAGGATGAAGAGATTGGGCAAGGTGACCTGTGAACTGGCTGGACATTGGAGGTTGAAGAGGTACCTGAAAGACCAGGGTGAGAGCATAGGCGTCAGCAGAAGTAACAGCCTGAACAATATTTTGGAGTTATGAAAGTCTAGGGTTTGTCTGGAGATAATGGAATAGTTTGGTGCAAGAAAGAAAGCTATGCCTAGAATGCTAGGATGGGGTCCAACCAAAGGGCATTTTCTGCTGTGTTAGGGAATTTGAATTTCTTTTGGAAAACAATGAGGCACTACTGAATAGTTATATATTTTATAACTTGGGCTTCATGCCAAAGCTTTTAGATTTTTTTTTAACCCTGGAAAAATATATAACAAAATTTACCACTTTAACCATTTTTAAGTGTATAATTCATATAATTCAATGGTATAAGATACATTCATATCATTGAGTACCCATCATCACCATTTAACCTTTCTGCGTCTCAGTTTTTGCATCTGTAAAATGGCAGCATGGAACTAAATTTTTTCTCTAAATCTCTCCCATCTCAGTCATTCATTTGTTCTGTCTTTCCTGTTCGTGTGGGTGTTTCTGCCTCTCCTTTACACCAGGTCCCTCTGCCTTCCCTCTCCTTAAAATGGCCACAAGTGGGACTGGAATACATATTACTTGTTATGTTACTTGGATAGAACTTTGTTTCCTGTTCTCAACTTTAAAGGTAAAGAGTACCATGTTATGAATTCATAGTCCCTCTTTCTTTCTTATTCCACAAATATTTATTAAGTACTGACTAAGTCAGACAAGATCTGTCTTCTCCTGGAGCTTTCAGTTCATCAGGACAATTTCCTGTTAACAAGAACTTTGGAAACCCAGCAGTTAGACCTTGTGCACATAGATTATCTCCATGATGGCCTGTGTTCTCCACATCACTGTGTGTAGATAAAAACTCAACAAACTCATTTTATTGTTTAATATAAAATCAACTGGCCAAGTGGCTCAGTTGGTTAAGAGCTCGCTCAAGAGTGTGAGCTCTGAACAACAGGATTGCTGGTTTGATTCACGGCGCTGAGCTGAGCTGCCGCTGAGCTGCCAACAGGTAGCAGGATGGTTCAGCTAAAAACAAAAACAAACAAACAAAAAAGATAAAATCAAGTAATCATTTTGAGCCTTTCCCCACTGTTGTACCAAATTATCATTTGATTAAACTGACCTGCTGCTTTGTACTTGTCACAATTGGTCTTAGCACATGAATATGAGGGGTTTTGTCTCTTAAATGGGCATTGTACTCATTACGAACCTGTAATATTTTTAGGAAGGCGAAATAATATACACAGATTGGAAACTGGAAAAAGACCCTGAAACTGGCCGATTGATGAGTAAGTTTTGATGATTGTTCCATTATTAATAAGTTGTTCCCTTTTTACGAAGTGCTGAGTTACCCCAGCCTTGCTAATGGAAGGAAGGGCACCTAAGGTTCTGACTGTACACTAGTTACTCAGAGTGAGGGCCTCAGACAAGCAGCACAGTTGTCCGCTGGGAGCTTGTTAGAAATGCAGAATCATGGATCCTACCCTAGTCCTGCTGAATCTGAATATGATTTCAATTAGATTCTCCAGGTGGTTTGTTTTCACGCCAAAACTTGAGGAGCACAATTTAAAGATAACAATGCTGTTCTAATAATGCAACAAACTGATAGCTTATCTATGTGGGAAGTTTGAGTCAACGTGAAATTAGAAGCCAAGTTTACAATGATCTTGAAGACCTCAGGACAGTATGGGAGAAGTGACTGTAGGACCCTCCTTTGGGGCTCGGACTGGTGGTGTCCACGTTCTCCCCTGCTCCCAGAGCCAGGCTTTGGGCAGCTGAGCAGAAGTATGAGGGTCACACCCAGGTGTGAGCAGGAATCAGAGTCAAGGTTTAGGCTCCCCAACAAGCAATACTCAATGTCAAAGCTGAGAGCCTTGGGGCTAGCTACAATTACAACTACTTACTTTAAAACTTTGGATTTTATCATGGCATAAAAACATATTTGAACCAGATTTCGAAGCAGGAAATGATCATAAGCACAGGAAGAGTCAGCTTCTGGGACTGCTAGAACATGGTGGAGCAGTGAGGTGGGGCAGCCAGGCTTGGTTTGCACATGGGATCTGGTCAACCCTGTGGGGGTTTGGGGCAAGTGGACACATGACTGACTGATGCGGTTGGAGGTCAAACCCACAACCCTCGGGGAACAGCTTCTGGGGCTCAGGTCTCCACCTCAAACTTCACTCCATTCACTTCTAACTACTGAGTCCAGTTCCGTAGACTGGAGTGCCACAGACCTGGAAAGGCTTGCTTTGTCAGCATTGACCCCAAGTAGCCATTTTAATCTGGAAACAGCATTCCTACTTTTCATACATGGTGTCCCCGACCAGAAATCCAAATGTGTGTTATTGATAGGAGTGGTGCATTGAGAATTAGATGTGACCCCAGAGAGTGTCAAGTGCAGGCAGAACTGATACCTATTTTCCACTTTCCATTTATTCCCAATTTCATGATTTAAAGTTGAATTCAAAATTACATATTGGGTATAATGAATTATATTCAACTTTTATGCTTATGCATGTTTCTATTTGCTCAATAATTTATGAATATTAATTTTATGTGTACTGCATGCCAGGCACTATGTAACATGGCAGCTGTCTCCACAACACCCCTGGGACAAAAGGTTGATGCCATGACTTGGTTACACACAGGTAAACACTGGTTCCTCCTGGTCTCAGAGACTTTTCTGGGCACCTTACTTCCTCTTGCAGTTTCCTAAACTGCTTTTGAGGCAGCCCATGATAAATGGGTTTAGTTATTTATTTTAAATGAATTTTATCCCATTTATAGAATAGCCAATGACAATAAACTTATAAACCAAGAGCTTTACGTTTCAACCTCCCTGATGTTTGTTTGTTCATTCTTTCTTACTCTCATTTATTCATCAAATCATTACTCAGAATGTACTATGTACCAGGCACTGGGGATATAAAGATGAATAAGATATTATCCTCCCCCAGAGGAGTTCCATCATCCACTGGAAAAGTCAACATAAACAAATGATGACTCACTCTCTTGAGCTGTTAAAAAAAAAAAAAAAAGGCCTCACTGAAGAGAGATACAGATGAGCTGGGTCCTAAAGGGTAGATTGCAATTTTCCAGATGGAGAAGATGGAGAGAAACATTTCAGGTAGAAAGAGACAAGTACAAAAATCTGGAAGCCCAAAAGACCAGGGGACAATTAGGGAAACAGGGACATCTCCCGGTCAAACCATGGCCATATAGAGGGCAACAGCCACAGGAGAGGTGCCGGGAAGAACATTTGGGTCCAGATGGCAAACAGCCCTGAGTGCCCTGCTAACACTTTATCCTAGAGCCACCAGTATAACCAGAAAATCACTCTGGCAGGAGAACAGGGGCTAGATTAATTTACTGGTAAGACTTACAATGGAAGTATGATGATCAGTTGCAATAACCTAGGTAAGGAATGGGGAGGACTGATGTATAAGCATGGTAACAGGGACGTACAGCAGAGGAAATACAAGAGAGACTTAGGGATCAACATGCCAGGACTTTGTGATCAATGGGATGTGAGTGGTCAGGAAGAAAAGGAGTTGCTTTTAATTCCTTGGCATTGAGTGCATTCAAAACAATGGGCAATAGCTTTCACCACCTACTTAAAGTATACTTTTCAATCATCATAATACTCTTATACTTAAAGTACTTTAAAATCATCAGTCAAGTATTTTGTAACATGGAAAGCCAAATGACACTGTTATTCTCATTGGATGATGGTTGAAGTTCAGAGAAAGCCAATGAGGACACGTCCTGCCTGCCCTCGTTGCATTCTGTGAACTGGTGGTGTTTTCCTTGGGAGCCTCCAGCCTGTCTTTCATAAACACCATGGAGATTTCCTGAGTAAAGATGAAGTAACCCAATCCCTCTTGACCTGCTGGAAACCACATGTTCTTGTCGCAAATGTACAACAAGGCAAGGAGAATTTTCTCTTCTAAGACAAAACTTGTGAAAGGCAGAATATCCTGACCGAGCTGTGTGTGGTTAAAAACTGTCAAATCGAACAGAATTTCCGGAAGATCTAAGTGACAAGCCAAGAAATGCAGGCTGAATGACAAATTGACATAACCATTTCATATACTCGACTCACAAATTGGCACATGTTACATGCCAGGCACTCTTCTAAGCACTTCCCATGGATTAGCTCATTTAATCCTCACAGCAGTTCTATGGGGTAGCTGCTGTAAGTTGCATTGTCAGGATTTGAACTCACACAGTCTGTTCTCTTAACCAGGTCACTATAGTGAATCCTTCATTAGATAACGACTCTGGAAACTATTTTTCTGTGTATTGTCATTTTCTTATAATAATAGCCTGGCCTGGGGGCTCTGGCACTTCATTTACTAACTTAAGAACATCTCCATTCATTGCTGAATGGCACTAAGGTCTTTCGAAGGACAAAAGAAAGGAAAAATTATTATGGATTGAGAACATCCAACCTGTTATTTATTTTGCTTTTTAATTTAATTTTCAATTACGGTTAACATACAATATTACATTAGTTTCAAGTGTACAACATAGTGTTTAGACAGTTGTATACCTTATGAAGTGATCACCCTCTAACATAGTATTTTAAAGTACAAGTCTTAATGGTTGCCAATATTGCTATCACTGGTAATCATTATATTTCACAGAGGGCTTCCAGGTTTCTGGACAGCTCTGATCAGCAGAGTGGCATGGTATCAGGAAAACCTTGTTAACCCTGAGGGTAAAACCAGGCTCTGAGAAACAGGAACAGCAGCAAGAAGAAAGCTACTGATTTCCAGGGGCCTCCTGCCTTACCAGGAATCTTAGAGATCACTTCAAGATGGACTTAAACGTCTATCTTCTGTGCTCTCTTCAAGATGGGACTTTGGTTGGAGGGAAAACATTTTTTTAAACAAGAGGAGCACCATTAAATTTTTTAATTTACTTTATAAACTTTTTTCAAATAATTTTTAAATTGTGGTAAAATATACATAAACATGAAATTTACCATTTTAAGTGTACCTTTCAGTAACATTAGTCACATTTTTATGCAACCAATCTCCAGAACTCTTTTCATCTTGCAAAACCAAAACTCTATACCCATTAAAAAGTAGCTCTCCGTTCCTCCCCCCTCACCCCCCCCCCAGTGGCTGGCAACCACCATCCTACTTTCTGCGTCTGTGAATGTGACTCATATAAGTGAGTAGTTACCTCATATAAGTGGAATCAAACACTGTTTGTCTTTTTGTGACTGGGTTATTTCCCTTAGCATAATACCCTCAAGGTTCATCTATGTTGTAGTATATATTATAATAGAATTTCCTTCCTTTTGAAGGATGAATAATATATTCCATTGTATGGATATGCCACATTTTGTTTATCTCATCATCCATCGATGAACACTTGGGTTGCTTCCAAGTTTTGGCTATTGCAAATAAGGCTGCTATGAACATTGGTGGACAAATATCTCTTTGAAACTCTACTTTATGAGCTTTTAGCAAGATTTAATTGCTCTTTTTTATGCTTAGTGTCCCATTGGTGCTCTGAGAAAAAAGAAAATCTAGCCTTCACATGGCATTAATACGATGAGATTCACAAGTTTGTGGATTCAGTATAAAGTAGACAAACATTGTGGTTTGGTCTAGCCAAGCACATATTTTTATGGCCATCCCTGGGGCTGGTGGGTATGGGCAGCAAAGGGTGAGAGCATCCAGCTCTGCAGACAGGCCTGGGGGAGCGGAAACCCAAGCAATGGCCTGGTAGCACTGGCATGGCACAGGGCCTGGGGCTGAGACTAAGGGGAAGTCTTGATCTTCAAGTCCAAACCTGCTCGTCCTGTCTTCCCAGTTGCCATAAATGGAAACTCCATGAGCCAGTTGCTTGTGCCAAAAACCTGGCTCTCATTTTCAGCACTTCATCTCTCTCACCCCTCCCTCCTCTTCAAGCCATCTCCAGACCCTGTCAATTCCAGCTAACAAATATTTCCTGATTACTCACACCTCTCCATTGCACCTTCATCCAAGCCACCATGCCCTCACACCAGAACTACCACAACAGCATCCTATGGTGTTCCCTCTTTGCTTTTACCTGCTGTTAATCCATTCTCCCCATGGCAGCCAGAGGATATTTTGGAAATGTCAATCAAATTATCTTCTAGGCCTAAAGCACTCATTAAGACACATTGCACTTACAATATAATCTAAACTCCTTTCCTACAAGGCCCTGCGTGGTCTCAGCACTCCTGGTCCACATTTGTTTCACAGGTCTCACACTGGATCTTACGCTGGTCTCACACTTACCAGACTGGATCTCACTGCCCTCTTCAAATTTATAGACACTGAACATGCCTCAGAACTTTGGTGTATGTTGCCCCGTCTGTCTGGAATGCTCCTCCACGCCAAAATCTTCTCAGGTCAAACTGCTACTCAGGTCTAAATGACTCATCTTCAGAGAAGGCTTTGCTGAGCATTTAGTCAAAATTATGAATGCCCCTCGTTATTCTTTCTTGTAATATTTTTTCCTTCATAACACTTTTCACATTTTTTATTCTATACTTTGAGATTTGTCTATTGAGCCCATAGCTGTCTTTCCCACTAAAATATGAGCTCCTTGAGGGCAGGATCATGTTTGTTGATTAACCATTGTTTACCCAGCCACCTACAGTACCTGGCACATATAGGCAATTCACAAATACTTATTGACTAATGAATGAAAGAATGAATAAATGAATGAGAACATGAAGTGTTCCTCTGAACTTGCAAAGTGGCCTTGATGGGAAATTCCCTGGACTTTCCATAAAAAGAGGGACTACTCCTTGACAGATTCTGGTTCTCTACTCTTGGGCCTCATTAATCAGGACCTGTGTGTCCATTGGAGGGTACTCCATTCGTCATTGTAGAAATGTATACCATGTTATTAAAGATGAAATGGCCTTTTCCACTCCAACAGCAAAGAAGCCAGTGAACCTCTGCACTGTCCATGATGGCGCTGTCCACACTGTTCAGAGGTCACCTTTTTATAAGGATATTATCCTCACCATTGGGGGGTGGAACATGGCCATCTGGAAAGAAGGTGTCATGGTAAGTTGCTTGCAAAATGAAGGAATGGGTGTGTGGTCCTTTGTTATTGAGAAACACAATAGGAACAACAAAGTGTTCCAACATAACAGTGCCTGTGGGAAACTTTTTAGAGAAATTGAAACAGATGGCGTGGGCTCCAGCTTGTCAGCAGAACCTCTGTAAGCCCTTTGGAAAGCCAGCCATTTGCTTTCCTTTCCTGAGGGAAGGAAAACACATTCACAAGTCTCTTGTTCTCTGAAAGCTAACAGCCTTTTCTTTGAAATATATATTGCAGTCAGTTGACTGGCATTTTTCCTCTCCGTAAAGTACAAGATGAGGATGCTGAAGATGGGATGTTGATTACTACATGAAGTCCAAGGAGAAGCACTGGGTCTGATCTCTTTGCTTCTACACCAGGAATATGCCAGCAGGTTCAGGAAGTGGGAGTAAGAAAGCTAAAGGGTCCATCACCAGACAGAGCAGACACATACATGGGTCAAAGTGAGGCGGTGCCAAGAAAATCTGGTGGTCAGAAATAGGAGAAGGCCTGGATCCAAACTGTCAAAAACTAGAAAGATTGAGAAAAATCTAGTGAAGCAAGGGTATGGGGAAATCAGTATTGATATGCCCCTTTTGTGAGCAATTCAAGATTTTCAAAATCTGAAATATATAGGTATATCTATTTCACAGCCATACTACATACATCCTTTGAATAAATAATATATGTAATAATATATG